CTCATGGGGTTCACAGTCCAGCTGGGGGCACACCCTAGACAAGTGCTTCCACAGCGACCCAGTGCTGGCCGCTGAATGAGGGCAGGTGGCCTTTGGGCGAGAAGGAGGGCGAAGCCACCTTGGGAAAGGAGGACCGGGCAGGAGCAACCTACAGTGTTCCAGGAGCCAAAAGAATGGTGAGGCGGGGCTTAGTGGAAGGGGCTCCCAGATGACATTGGCGAGGAGGACAGGGCCCTGAAAGGAGTTTGGATTTACCCTCAGACCAGGGGCTTCCCATTTGCATGTTGTTTCCTAAGGACCCCCATAACCATGTACCACACACAGATGGCTTAGCCACAGCGCGATTTCTTGTCCCTGGTTTGGAACACCAGAAGTCCAACAGCATGGGCAGGCCACACTTGCTGAAAGCTCTCGGGGCAGCCTGCCTGGCCCCTCCCTGGCTTCTGGCCCGGTGGCTCCCGAGGCTCCTGGCAGGCTGTGGTGTTCTTTGGCTGGTAGCTGGCTTCACTTGCATCCCTGCCTCCTTTTCAAAGACACCACTCATAGTGGATTAGCAGGCCCCTTGCCAGGATGATCTCATGCAACCCAATCACATCTGCCAATACCGATTTCCACACAAGTGAGCACGGATTCACTGTTCTGGGGTATCAGACTTCAACCTACGGACACCTTAGTCAGCCTGAGCCAGCGTGGAAGGGGGTCCGCAGAGCAGATGCTACGAGCTCTGATGTCTGGTTTCAAAGATCGCTCTACTCTCTCTGTAGTGCGGTCCTGGTGGGGAGGCCAGGACAGAAACAAGACAAGGAGGAGGCTGTTGAGTGAGCCAGGGAAGTGGTGCTGGCAGTGTGGCCCTGGTGGTGGCCACAGGGAAATCCCTTTCTCTTCAACACTGGTCTTATCAAGGCAGCCAGCGCAGTGGGTGGCTGCTGGAGTCGTGAAACAGCAGGAAACACGCTGAAGTCGATCTAGAGGCCAGTCGACAGAGAATTCACCATCCGTTCAGATAACAGAACATGAGGGGCTGCAAAAAGTTCCCGTGAACCTTTAGAAGCTCCCTGCTCTAGGCTGCAAGAACAAAGACCCATGAGCTAGTATTAGCAAGATGAGCCAGCAAGACTATGTTTAGTGAGAGGAAAAAGCTCCCAGGCCACCCGAGGCTGCCAGGGGCTAGCCATTGACTTCACGGGGAAGGAGGCACTGCCAAGGGTCGGCAATGTGCCCGCGGGCTGGTTTCTTAAAGCTGGGTGGTGTGTGTGTGTGTGTGTGTGGGCAGTGGGGGGAGGGTTTCCAGCAGCCTCCTCTCTATGTGTTTAAAACTTAGTTTTGTGTTGCTCCCCACCCCCCACCCACCTGTCCCTTGGTGACCCAGGCCATGTGCTATAGACAGACCACTGGGACCTAGGCGCTGTCCTCTCGAGGCAGGTGCCCGGCATCCTTGGTTGGCCACATTAGAAGGGGGTTCTGTGCTGTTTCCTTCCATGGGTGTGAAGAGGCCAAGTCCACTTCCATTGTGGCCCTCCTTTTTCAGCCACTCAGAACCAGGTTGACAGCTGAGGGGCAAGGGAGCTAAGGAGTTGTTTGGGCTTTGGTTTTTGAATGGGACGACTTTTATTTATTTAACTTATTTCTTTCCTGTTAAACCCTCCAGTTGTTGCCTCCCCCACCATCCCTCACTTCTCCCTTTCCCCATCTCTGGTATTCTTAAAATAACGAGTAATTAAAAAAAAAGTTTTTCCTCAATAAACACTCCTCACCCAACTCATGCAGACAGTATTTTTCTCCTCCCTAATAGGTAGCTTTATTTGCTTTACTAGAAAACAGGATGATTCTGGGTCCACAAAGGACCTGAGGGACAAAATGAACAGAGGTGACAGGTGGAGGGAGGCATCGGCCGCGAGTCAGATCGACAAAAGCTAAGAAGAACCTCACTACCTATTCTAGTCGATTCTGACTCATAGCAACTCCATAGGGCAGAGGGGATCTGCCCCTGTGAGCCTCTGGGGCTGTGAATCTTAACCAGAGCAGACAGCTTCGTCTTCCTCCCGTGGAGCGGCTGGTAGAGCACCCCAGGTATTAGCTTCCCCTTGTGGTTATTGAAGGAGTGGCCCAGAGGTTATGTGTTAGGCTGCAAATCTCGAGGCTAGCAGTTCGAAACCATCAGCCGCTCTGCAGGAGAAAGACGAGGTTCTCTACTCCTGTGAAGAGTTACCGTCTCAGAAACTCACGGGTCAGTTCTACCCTGTCCTATAGGGTCACTATGACTCGATGGCCGTGAGAGTCCCATAGTTATTCATCTTGGGAGGACGAGCTAGGCCTGGTCGTTGGCTCGACGGATGTGACTCCATGTGTCTCCCTCAGGTGTAGACTGACCTCTTCAGGTTGCCCCTCACACAGCTGGGAGAGGCCACGGTCAGCACCGAGACAGCCCAGTGGCCTGCGCACATGGGAGCACCCTCTCCGTTCTGGGAGCCCCTACCCCTCAGCATCCCACACAACCTATTCTCTGGAGTTCAGAAATGCACAAGAGCTAGGGCGCAGTAGGTGGCGGTGGGGGCGTGGCTGTTGCAAATGAGAGCCACGGATCTGTCTTCCCAGTGCGCTCTCTTTCCCACTCAGCAAAGGCGAGGCTTTCAAAGATGGCTCTCCGACAGGTTGATTCTTGCTAATCAGGTCACATGGTCATTGACTGTCAGGGCTGGCAGGGTCTGGAGAAGACCCGGCCACCAACGGTCTAGCTTTGTAGGGTCGGAAACGGAGCCAGAGGGGCGGTGGGGGACAGAGTCTGGGTCCTGCATCCCATTAACAAGATGCCACCCAGTGGGGCTGCAGTGAATGCAGGCAGCAGGGCAGGACGGAGGGGCCTTCACAGCTGTAGATCGCGGAACGCCCGGTTCTCAGCTCAGGGCTGGGGCCACTGCCTGACGGGTGCAGGAGTCTTTGGCACCTGCTCTCGTGCCCTGCATGGCCATGCGGAAGTCTGCACCTCCTTCTGCAGTGCGCAGAGTTGGCTCCTGTGGGTCCCCAGGCATCGCTGGGTTTGTGGAGTTCACGGCTCTTCCCTCTGTCTCTCCGCCTCCCCACGCTGGCACCGTGGCCTGGCCTACCTCGGGCAGTGCTCTGCCACTTGTGGAGAGGGCATTCAGCAGAGGCAGGTGGTGTGCCGAACCAATGCCAACAGTCTGGGTCAATGCGAGGCGGACAAGCCGGACGCTCTGCAAGTCTGCCGCCTGCCTGCCTGTGAAGGTGAGCCTGATGGGATGGGATGGGATGGGATGGGGCGGGCACCTCCTGGCCAACACCCAAGCCCATCTTGCATCCTCACCCCGTTACCAACCTCCAGCTGCCATTGAGTCAACGCCAACTCAGGGTGGCCCGTGGGTGTCAGAGCGGAGCTCTCCTTCCCAGCATCCTCAGTGGCTGCTCTTTCAGAAGTAGATTGCCAGGCATTTCTTCCGAGCCACCGCCGGAGGAACTCAAACCTTCATCCTCTCAGTTAGCAGCCAAGGACAGTGACCTTCTGTACCATCCCAGGACTCGGTTGTCCCAAATCCCAGACCCCAGCCCCTCCCCTTTCTCCCTGCTCACAGGAGCTCTCCAGAACGGCACATCAAAGGCTGACAACAGGGGACTTGTGACCCCCACGTGGACCCCACAACTAGGGCCCCTTCATCCTGCTAACCAAATATCTACAAGTGAGTGCATTCTCCGCACCCCCACCCTCCACCCCATCGTGTGCAAAGATCATGGAGTCAAGTGGCCCAGCTTCCAGTCTGCCTGTGTGACCTTAGCTCTTACCCTCCCTGAGCTGTGAACGGCGACAATGGTGTCAGAACTCATGCCAACCCAGAGGCCCTAGAAGACAGAGTGAAACTGACCCACAGGGCTTCCAAGATCTAAAGTCTTTACAGAGGCCGCCGGCTCCAGCTTTCTCCCTCAGAGCAGCTGGTGGGTTGGAACCACCAACCTTTCCATTAGCACCTGAGGCCTCACTTACCTACTGTGCCGCTAGGACTCCTGGGGATGGCGGTTCTGGCCCACAGCCCCGTCTTGGCAATTCCGAGACGTGGAGAGCTCTGACAATGGAAGGGGTTTTCCTGAGTTGCATACAAACGTAAACGTAGTTCGCTTCCGTTCCATCTGCTCTGAACGAACGAGGGAGAATGTATGCTCTGTTGCAGGAGCCTTGCCTTATTGGCCCGCACACACAGTGGCGGCTCAGACCAGATGTGCCGGGGCCTGCCGTATAATGGGCACCATGTGCCCCACGAACACACAGTGTGACCTTTCAAAACCCCAGCCTTCCGCATCTCATCCGGCCCTGATGGTTTTGGGGAAGCACTTGGAACCCTGAGCTGCCTTCATAGAGCCCTCAACCCCAAAATGCAAGCTCACTGCGGCCAGTCGGGGCCGAGACTGTAACTGGACGGGAGTAGAACACCCTGTCTTTCTCCCCTCTCCTGGGGCCCTGGAGAGGATGCTCTGCCCGGCTGCCAGCTAACAGCACCGATAATCATTGCTCTCTGCTTCAAAATCTGATCATCCGCCCACCCGTCCCCTTGATGTGTCTGAGCTCTGCTGTGGGCCAGGCACCACACTCCACGCACCTGCCCTACTGCCTTCTCTCAGTCCGTCCGCAGGTCCCTGAGGGGCAGGGTGGGAGCAGAAAGATCACTCACAGTCACCGTGAGGCCGGAAGGACTTGAGGGCAGAGTTTTGTTTTTGTTTTTAATGAACAACTCTTATTTAGTGACTATGTGTCTGTAAACCCCTAAGCTCTCCGAGCACAGCGGCCCCATCTATTAAATGAAGCCACTGGGCCGGTGCTCTGTGCAGTCAGTCCTCCAAAGAGCTGCCAGGGGCATTCCTCCTGGAGTTCGGGCGCCATCTGGCGGCACTGGCTTTCCGGTTTTCTCAACCTCCCTGGTTCCCCAAAGCTCTCTGCCAGGGCAAGCATTAGTCGGCAGCAAAGCTTCTGCTTTTGCCTCTATCTGGAGGGACCCCACACTCAACCCCCCGGGAGGTGACAGACATCGTTTCGAGTGACATTTTAAGTAAAGAAATGGAAAATCGTAGAGTGAGCACTTCTCCATGCTAGCCACGGCAGACATGTGCGCAATTACTCCCTGCTGGTGCCACTCACAGCCGCCCCACAGGCCGGGGTAGCACTGCCCCCAGGCTTCTGAGACAGTAATGCTTTCTGGGAGCAGACAGCCTCATCCTTCTCCCAAGGAGCAGCTAGTGGTTTCGAACTACTGTTGGCAGCCCAGCTAGTAACCACTCCTCCAAATGCAGCAGGATCCCCACTTCACCCACGAAGCAACTGAGGCTGGCAGAGCTCCAGTGAAGAGGCGGGGTGGGCTCATAGCGGTGTCTAAGGGGTAGAGCCTCGATTGGAGTGGAAATGTGCAGGGGACCCATGTGTCCCTTTTCAAACCATGTGTGTAGGTGGGTGGCAGCCTGCCGCATCCCCTTGTGCCATCTGGTGGGGTGCCTGGCCCTGGTGGGGTATGGGTTGGTTAGGAGGGGGCGGGGGATGCCCGGTCACGTCACCCGGGAAGCCCGAGACCACCGAGCCACCCACACCATTGCTGGGTGCAGGCTCTTTGTCTATACCTCTGGGTTCTTCCAGAGTGTAGTCAAGCCTGAGTGCTGTGGGCGCTGTACTAACTGGGTGGGTGGGGGTTGGGGGGGTCACCTGGGGGGTTCTGGTGAAGCCCAGTTCTGGGCCCACCCCAGAGTTCCCAACTCAGGAGGTCTGGCTAGGGCAGCTGGGACAAGCTGCCTGTCTGGGGACTCTGTTTGGAGTCCCACTGCAATAGGGGATTCTACTTCCTCTCCCAGAGCCCTTTCCTGTCAGGCTGCCCTGAGGCCCAGCACCGGGAGGGGTGAGGAATGGCAGTCGGCTGGGTCAGCACCACCTGATGGGCATGCTGGCCTTCCATCCCAGCACTGGGCCTTGTGCTGTGGGCACCAGAGCCCCGCAAGGGGGCCTCTTCTGCCTGGTAGAGGTGCTGGGTAGAGGTCCGGGGGGGCGGAAGGGGGACTACTGCACAGTCCCCAGCAACCAGTGGCCCTGCTGTGAAGCCTGCCCCAAGAGGGCGCCCAGCCTGATCTCACCCTTCTTTTCTCCTCCCCCAGGCAGCCCTCTTCAAGGACCCAAGACTCCTCCAGATGCTGTGGGCCCCCCTGGGGGCCTTTCAGGGTCAGCTGGCCATCAGCCGGCTGTGAGCACAAGACCTGCAGAACTTCTGGGCACGAGCTCTCCAGTCACCCCGCGCCACCTGGCCTCCCAGAAACAGATCACTGGAGCATTCTGGGCAGCGCCCCAGCCACCCTCCAGGGACGGTCTTGGGCCAAGGCACCAATGCCAGCCTCTGAGGACACAGGGCAGCCCAGGGAAGACCTGAAGCCGTCAGACATCCACTGGCCCACCCCCTCCCCAGGGACATGAGCTGTCTGCCCTATACCAGGGAAGCTCACAGGCCGAGGGCAGCACCCCCTCCCACCCCGGCTGGGCAGGGGCCAGCATGGGCTTCCTTTTAAATTATTTACTTTCTTGTTCTTTGGTGCTAGGGCTAGGGCACTCTTCACCCCAGGGAGGGTGGGGGGAAGCCAAGATCAGGGAGAGTCTAACCTGAGATACCTCAGCAAGCAGCCCCCGACTGAAGACATGAGCCTCTGAGTTACCTCATGTCCCCTTGTGATGGCCGGCTAGGGGGTCTGCTTTCTCCAGACCTTGGGGGGACCCTGTGAGTCTCTGCATCTTAAGCCCCTCTGTCCACAATGCAGAGTGTGGCCAGGGAAGGTGCAGGGGGTGCTCACGGGGCAGCCTGACAGGAAAGGGGGATTGTCTCCCTCAGCAGGCTTGCAAGGGCAGGAGGTCAAGTTCAGTTCTGTGGCCAAGGCCAGGGAGCTTTGACTGGAGGGCAGTCTCCACCCTGTCCCTGCAGAAGGTTGCTGCTTTTACTTCTGGTGGCTTCTGGTTACAGGCTGACCTCTGAGCGGGTCCCCCCCCATGCCCCCAACTCTCTTGAGAACGGTGCTCAGGACCCTTGGAGCCATGTGTCCAGCATCCAGGGGGTTCCACACAGGTGCTTGACCCCTGACTCCACCAGAAACAGCGGCTGTCCCCACCGCTCTGGAGCTTGGGGGAGTCCGGCCAGGGTGGTGCTCTGGGGGCGATCAAACCCAAAGGCTGACCACAGCTGGGTCCTGAGGGTGACAAGAGCCAGCCAAGCAGGAGAGCACTATCTCCTGTTTTGGGGGGCCTCCTGCTGGGTTACCCCCCATGTTACCTTCTATGGAGAGGCAGCACCCCTACACTCTCTGGCTTCCAGGAAGCCACTCAGACTCCCAAGATACCCCTCAGGAGTTTTCACCCCCAGAAGTTATGAGGACCATTTCGACCCCTCAGCAGGTGACAGAGGTGCTTGTCCTTCATCCTGCTCCAGGGGCCTGCCGCCCTCAGCCAGGGGAGGGGACATTACACAGAGCTAGCTTAAGGAACTGAAGCAGCGGGGCTCCTTGGAGAAGAGCGACCCCAAAGGGGGCTTTCCAGGCTTGCTTTCGCTAAGTGATCCCCTTTCTGAGAAGCGGGTGCCCCCCTCATCCAAGCAGTCCTGCAAGAACCAGCCGGGCTGCCCCCTGTGCAGTGCACTCGGGCCCTTGGAGAACCAAGCGGCTTTCATTCAGAGCATGTATTAACTGAGTTTTCCAGACCCCGCAACAGTTGTGTTGTGTGTGTTTTATGTTTTACCTCGGTTTATTTTGGGGGACAGGGACAGCAAAGTCGGATCGCTTCACGTGTGCGGCGAGGGGTGGGACAGAGAGGTGGCTGGCGCTACAAGAAGACTGAACCCCCAGCCCGGGGCCCTGGCCCCACTGCTACTCTCACTGGTGACCCCACATGTGTCAGAGTGGGGCTGTGCTCCGTGGGGTCCTCGGTGGCTGATTGCCCAGAAATTGATAGCCAGGCCTTTCTTCCTAGACCACGGGCCAGGGGACAGATGTGGTTGTCATCCGTCAAGGTATTGACAGGGGTGCTTCTCTAGGGCAGCAGCCAGGCGTTAACTATTCAACTCTTCTCACCCACTCTCCTCCCCGCTGTCCACCAACCAGGGACTCCATCCATCTCTAAGGATGGCTGAAATTGGAAAGCTGAACCCCATCAGCTGTGGGGAGGACACTGAGTTCTACTGGGGGAGTGGGGATGCAAAGGGTCAGGCCCTTCAGAAACCATTTTGACACTTTTTTTATAAAGTTAACAATGCACTTAACATACAGCCAAACTAAACCATCACCCCCCAGTGTATTCCCACGAGGGGTCCAAGAAATGACTTTATGCCAAGTGTCCGTGGCAGGGTTATACAAAATCGTCCAAACTGGGAGCTGCTGCGTGCGCCTGACACACGGAGAGACCAGAGGGGCGCATCTGGAGTCCAGATCCGCGCCTGCCTTACGCCTGCCAAGGAGCGAGCGCCGTGCCAGGCCCCAAACCCCACATGCTGTGGTTCCACTGGCGAACCCGCATGTTCTGGAAAAAGCAAAACCGTCGGGACAAGGCAGGGCTGAAACCGAGAGGACTGGGGAGGGGATCAACTAGCTGTGGGCACAGGGGATTTTTTGGTGGTGGCGAGAATGCCACATATATTGATTGTGGTGTGCTCACACATGGCGTACACTGGTCAAACACACAGAGCTGTACACCTGTAAATGATTTTACATATATGTCAATGGCATCTCAGTTTAAACGCATTTTTAAAATTACTTAGTCTGGGTAATGGAAGGCTCTGCCCAACCTGGGATCCGAGAAGACACTGGTTGCCCTGGGGGACAGGGCTGCCCCCTGTCCAGCTAGACAGAGAGAGTGATTTCCCAGCATCCCAAGGTCTGTCTGAGTGACATAGGGAAAGGTGTCTGACCTCTGAGCGCTAGTTCCCTCATCTGTGAAAGGGGGATCTTTCTTACCCATGGGAATAACCGATCATTGCTTAAGATGCCGAGTCTGACACAGACGTGGTTTATAAGTAACAGTTCTCCTTTGTCACTTTATTTTTTATTATTTTTTTCCCCTTTTATTTTATTTTATTATTTTTTTCTTTTTTAACATTTTATTAGGGGCTCATACAACTGTTATCCCAATCCATACACACATCAATTGTGTAAAGCGCATTTGTACAT